AAAATGATGCTGTTGATGATGATGATGATTTCGTTTTAAGAAAACTAAGACAAACGATGGCTGTGACGAAGACGACGAGGATGACGATGATGATGATCATAATTTCATGCAATGGAGACACATAAATACAATAAATCAAATAAATAATTTTTTCGGTTGTGGGTTTTAATAACGATAAACATGTTTAATTTTAATGAAAAATCATCACCGGAACTTAAATTTATTTAACCGATTATTTAATAGAATAATTCGTCGTCGTGTCTTTTGATTTCGACTAACGTCCCACGTCAACCGTAGGACGCACGTTCGCAATTCCAGACAAAATCCGTTCAAATTTTCCGTTTCGTTCGTTTATTTTAAGAAAACAAATAAAAGCAGAAAATTTTTCAACATATTCGCATAAACGAAACCGATTTTTTTCTGGAGCGTTGGAAAGTATGGAGGATCAATAAAAATTCCGTAAAATTTTATCTTGTGACACGAAATTGATAAAAGTAACGGGGGGGAAAATTTAAAAAAAAAAATTTACTATTCGGCTTTTTCTCTAAAACATAATAATAATCTCTTCGCGTTTCAGATTTTTCTCAAAGCGATTCAAAGACGTGTCAAAAGAAAGGATTAAAAAAAACATTTCCGACATTTTGAATTTAAATTACTCATTAATTTTTTAATGGTTTAAATCTCTCCAGGAAAAATCAATTAAATAAGATTTTAAAAAGACTTTTAGAAAATAAATAGGATATTGTGTGTGAGTGATAAAAAAGAGAGAGAGAGAGAGGGGGGGAGAATCAACTTTTAATTAATTTTTATTTAAGGAATAAAAAAAAAAAACAATTTTTTTTTAAATTTTCCGTTTTCTTTTTCCAGGTCAAAACAAAAAAAAAAAAACTTAGGAAAATAAAATGGCCGAATTCCGTATAACAATTGATCTTTTAAATCGGATGAACCTGACACATTTATTCTCTCTCTCTCTCTCTCTCTCTCTCTCTCTCTCTCTCTTATTCACATTTCCTTTTACGCATTATTTGTGAACAACCGGCTTTAAATCTTCACTGACACTTTTTGGTTATTCAATGTGTACACCCTCATCTTCCTTTTTTTTTTTTTTTTTGGTTCCTCCCGTTTGCCAATTTTTATAAAAAAAAAAAAAAACGTTCTTTCTTTCATCCTCCCTCTTCTGATTAAAGAGGAACCCCTGCTACTATCACCACTGCCAACCTTTGTCAAAAAAAAAAAAAAAAAACCAAAAAAATTATTTTATATATTTAAAGAAAAAAAAAAATTTTAACCCAAGTTTATTTTTCTTCCCGATATGATTCCAGTAAAATTATCATCATCATTATCGCAGTGACGTCATTGTGATTCAATTATGACGTATTTAAATATTTATAATACAAATTTAAAAAAAAAAAAAATCTGACGTGGTTTTTAGTTTATAGTAAACCCCTTCGTCGCACAAAACTCAATTTTAAATTTTTTTCTCCGTGAGTTTATTATTATATAAAAAAAAAAAAAATTCGTGGCACCAGAATAATTATTTTATCGTATTTCCTATATCGAAAATATACTTAGAAAGGTAAAGAAAAAAAAATCATTGAAGCGTGAGCGGTTACGATCGCTTAATTACGTTCAAGTTTTTTTTTTTCTCAATATTTGAAAGCTTAAAATTTTTTTTATTTTTATTTTTTTAAACTTTAAATTTCTCACGGTTTGTATTTCGTAGTTCGTTATTTTTGATCCAGAAAACAAAACAAAAAAAATATTTTTTTTTTAATGGTAAAATTACACAGTTTCGATCATTTCCTTAGTTTAAAGTTCAACGACCTCCCTCCCAATAATAATAAAAATAATAATAATAATAATAATTGATATTTGCGATTTTAAAACCGACCCAATTTTTTTTTTTTTTTAATCGGATACGTATTAAAATCTCATCCCTTTCTAACACATTGAAAAACGTTTTTAAAAACACGCACTCACGCACTTTCTCTCCTCTGTTCTTTTTCCAAAATCCTCTTGAGACTCTAACAAAAAATAATTGGAAGAGATTTATTACGAAATAAAAGAAGATCTCGTGAAAAAAAAACTTTGCTAAGGTGTGGCTTCGGAGTAACGGAATCTTTCTTTAATTAAAAATATTCAATAAAAAAAATTCCGGAAAACCTTTTCCTATTATTATTATTCTCTCTTTCCTTTTTTTGGAGGGGGGTTTCCTTTGATTCGTTTTGTGCACAAAACGATGATTTAAAGATTTTGTAAACCGTGAAAACTCTTGAAAAAACGTTCGAAAAATTTTTATTTTATTTATTTTTTTTTCTCTCTTTGTTTTTCTTTCGACATCACGAGTTGATTCGAAAAATAGAAGAAAAAAAGAAAAACGAAATAAAATAAATAATAAAAAAAAAAGAAGAAGAAGAAGAAGAGAGAGAAAAAGAGAACATAAATCAAACACACTCGAAAGAAACAACACAAAAGATCGGAAACCGTGCATGAAAATACAAAAAAAATGGAAAAATGGCAAAATAAAAAAAAAAAAAGAAACCGCAGGAAAACGAGATGAATGAAGGAAATAAACACAAAACACAAAAAAACAAAAACAAAGCAAAAAAAAAAACTTTAAAATATTTGCGACGAAAATAAAACAGGAAGACAACAGAAAAAAAAATTAAAGAAAAAACTACAGGAAAAAAATAAAAAAGAAAACTGATCTTCGGTCACGCACACGCACGCACCCCCTGTTTCCCTCCCCCCAATAACGTACGTTAAAGAAAATTAAATAAAATTACGATACGATAGTAATATTTTAAAAACCGGAAACGATTTTTATCTCTCTCTCTCTTTTTTTATATTTTTAAAAAATCGAAAACAAAACGAAAAAATAAATAAATTGGTTCGTTTACAAAAACTTGCGGCAAATTTAAACTTTTCTAATGACACGAAACGGAGAGAGAGAGAGAGAGAGAAAAAAATTTAAAAAAAAAAAAAAAAACGATTACGAATGCCCAACAACTTTGCGGGTTTTCCTTAATGATTTATTATATTTCACAATTAAAAGATAAACTTAATTATCATCGCGTTCCATCGTTTGTTATTTATATCTCTTGTGTGCGTGTGTGCGTGTGTGCGTGTGCGTGAGCTTTTTTTATTAGTGGTAGCAGTAGTAGTGGTAGTGGTAGTAGTAATAAAAATGAGTTAAAACTTAATCAAAAAATTATTAATAATTTTTTTTTTTTTATTCGTTTAACTTCGAAAAAAAATTTAGAAAAAAATTTAAAAAAAAAAATCGATAAATCGATTGTGATTTATCGATATTGCGAATCTCGAAATAAAAAAAAAAAAAGAAATTAATCACGCGCCCGCGTTTTCTAACATCATTCGTTAATTTCGTCGCCATATTGTGCGTAACGTACGAAAAACAAAAACGAATCGTCTGCTTTTTCTCCTGTGTGTGTGTGTGTGGGTGGGCAGGCGTGAATTGAGTATCCGAAATGTAAAAAACAAAATGGATACCCGCGTTTTCGGTAACGGAAAAAAAAAAAAAAACAAACCTTTGGCGTTTAAAAAATCGTGAAAGCTAAGAAAAAGCAGACGATATGTATTTTATATAAATTAAAAGTAATAAATTAAAGAGAAAAAGAAAGAAAAAAAAAGTTTAGAACGAAATAAAAAATAAAATAAAATAAAAAAATAAAAAGAAAAGTAATATATCAGAGATTTGGAACCAGCTGAACTCGTAATTCACTCTCAGTTGACGGTATCTTTAATCTATACAACACAGTGTCGCTCTTAGAGACAGAAAAAGAGAAAGACAGAATGAGAGAAAGAGAGAATGAGAGAAAGAGAGAAATAAAAATAAATTCATTCAGGCTTCTCATAACAAAAGAAAAGAAAAGGAAAAAAAAAAAAATTAATTTTTTCTTTCTGAATGCGGAGGTTCTCTCTCTCTCTCTCTTTTTAATTCTTCCGAGATAAAAGATTCACTTCGAAAACCGATACAGGTCTGGAAAATTCCAGACGCATAATTTCTACGTTTCGTTATAAAAAAAAAAAAAAAAAAAAGAAAGAGAAAGAGAGAGAATAAAATGACGCAATCTATTTTTTGGCGGGAAAAAAAACGTTTCCTTTGGTTTTTATTTTTCGCACCGCAAAAAAAAAAAAAAATATCCGGAAACGATTTCCGTTTCCGTCCAATTTTTTTTTCCCCTTCCCCTCTCCCTGTATTCAATTTCATTTAACTTAATCGTCAGTCATATTTATTCACACGTTAAAAAAAAAAAAAAATTGTACCCCGAACGGTGTGTGAGCGTGTGTACAAAACGTATAAATCTCCTTATTACTGATTGGAAAGGGAAAAAACAGCATCTCAAAGGAGCAATTTCCTTTCGATTGGTAAATAGATGAAATCACTTTTTTTTTCTTTTATAGCTCTCAATAGGTTGATTTGCACCTTTTTAAAGAATCTCAAAAGAAATTTATTTCATTTTACTTAAATCCTTCTCTTTCTTCTTCTTCTCCTCCATTTTTTTTTTTTTTTTAATTTTAATTATTTAAAAAAATTTATCTCGAACGTTTTCCCTCTTTTTTTCTAGCGTTCGGTTATCCGTATTTAACTTTTTTTTTGAAAATTCCGGTTAAGTAAGTTAGTTAACAAAGAAAAATTTTATTTAATATTATAATTATTATTATTAGAATAAATTCAAATGTTTCGAGAAAATTCTTGGCTCGAGTTAAAATAAAAAAAAAAAATTTTTTTATTTATATTATTTATTTAAAGTAAATAAATATATACATAATAAATTTACGTCGTCGAGATTTATTAATTAACGAACGGATTTTGTCGCCACAACGTTTAATTATAAATAATAATAATAATAAAAAAAGAAAACAATTAAAATTTATTATTTAAAATTAAACTAACGGCTTTAAAAAAAGAAAGGTTCGTATTCGTTTTACGGGAAACGGGGGCGGTGGGAGGCTGCGAGTCGGAAATGGAAAATTTTTCACGAATCCTCGCGTCCTTGTCCCGGAATAAATAATAAAAATTTTTTTTTCTTACCTTGTTCTATTCGTCTAGTTAAACCTTTGTCGGTTTTTATTCGTAAAAATAAAAAAATTAACGAATTTTTCTTACCTGTAAAAAAAAAAGAAAAAACAAAATGAGAAAAGTTAATAAGAGCAACAAGGAAAAAACAAAAAAGAGACAAAATTTTTAAGGAAGAGGGTGTCATGACCACCTAACCGAACGGATGCGGTAGGGGGGTCGCCTTCGACTTTTGTAACGAATTCAAACGAAATTTTTTCTAAATGCACGACGTCTTTAGGTTTTTTTTCACATGGAAAATTCACCTGATTGCCAAAGGTCGTTATTCTCGTATCGACCTTGCCTCCTCCCCATTAAAAAAAAAAATAATCGGCGGTTCCGATTGAAAAATGATTGAAACGTTATGCGAAAAGTATTCAAACGTGGCCCGTCGTGGCAATAAAGATTAATATAACAACAAAGATTCGACACGAAAACGGTGGTGAAAAAAAAAAAAAAAAAATCACGAAAAAAGATTCGTTAAGAAATAATCGGCGAACGTAATAAAAAAAGTAAAAAAAAAAAAGACGTTAGGAATGGGAAAATTACTCGAGCGCGAACGTCAAAAAAAAAATTTTTTTTTTTTAATTTCAAATCATCCCTTGTAAATAAGATAGATAAGCTTAATACCAAACGTCGGTTTCCCCTCTAATTGAAGAAATAATACAAATCACGTGAGGGAATTAAAAAAAAAATGGCGGTAAAAAAAATCTCAATCAAATATGATGCGTTCGCAATCATATACATTTGTTCTTTTTTTTAATCCGTTCGAATAAAACTTATTAACTTGAGATAATTTTAAAGTGGTCAATAAACCACCCGTTCGTTTTAATCGAAAATCCCTCCTTCCCCCGGCCCCTCTTTACAATCCAATTTTTAATTACCGAACGGATTTTTTCTTACGCGAAACACGCTCTTTTTGCGCCTAACATCGTATAAATAAATGAGATTAAGTTTAATAAAAAAAAAAAAAAGAAGAAAAGCGTTTGTCGCGTGATTCAAAGTCATAATTTCCCCCCCCCCCGAAAAAAAACAAAAAAAAATCGCATCCTCACGCTTAAAAATTTTATTTTTTTAAAAAAAAAAATTCGGTTGAAAAAAAAAAATTCGAACGCGCACACGTTCGGTTGAAAAAAAAAAATTCGAACGCGCACACGTTCAGTTGAAAAAAAAAAAAATTCGAACGCGCACACGTTCGGTTGAAAAAAAAAAAAATTCGAACGCGCACACGTTCAGTTAAAAAAAAATTCTCAAATTAAATTATTACGTAAGTTTGTACTAATAATAATAATAATAATAATAATAATAATAATAATAATAATAATAATAATAATAAATTACCGATAAAAAGGACTCTCGTTTGTAGATAATTTTCCGCAAAAATATTCAAGAAAAAAAAACACACACACACACCTAATTAAACTTTGACCTTTTTAGGTTAGAAGCAAAAAAAAAAAAAATTTCTCGTTTGCAACAACCGATTCAAAACAACCCATTTTTGCAAAAAAAATAAAAAAACCCACGAGGCAACAATTCAAGTCGGCAAACTTTTGAAAAAAAAAAAAAAAAAATTTACCCAAACAACTTTTCAAAAAAAAAAAAAAAAAAATTTAAAATAAATTATGCAGATAAAAAAAATTTTTTTAAAAACGCGGGAAGGTAGGCTCGCAGGTAGGCCGATACGCGATGAAAATAATTTTTTTGCGTTTGTTGTTTGTTGCAAATTTTCCACGCCGAACGAACCGCCGCTGGAGAAAATACATTCACAATCGATCACAACGTAACGAAATTCATTTTTTTTTTTAAATAAAAAAAATTCGCACGCATTCAAACGGAAAAAAAGGATTAATAACGTAAAACAAACAACGAACAAACAAACAAACGGGAAAATAAAAAAAAATGGTAGCAACAAAAACGTAATGTGCTAGAAAATTTTTTTTTTATTGGAAACCCAATGGTCCTCTCATCCGAAAAGGCGGATCGAATTCGAATCAATCGCTACCAGGTGTAATTAACTTTTTACACAGCAATAACTTATTTAACTTGGTTGTTGGTTGTTTTTCTGTTTGTTGTTCTTTTAAATATTATTTATATGTATTATCTTATTCTTCGACTTTACTTATTATTTATATTGATTATTGAAAAAAAATTAAAATCTTTATTATACATATATCGATCGAACGATCGATAATTATTTCATTATTATCATATAATTTTTTTTTTTTGTTTTCGCCGCCGGAAATACAATCGGATTTTTATATCTCATTCGAATTTTTTTTTCCTTTCCTTTTTCTTTTTCTATTCGATTAAACGTGGAATTAGAAAAAAAAATTCATTTACCGACGATTTACAAGACGGTAACAGTTAAAACAGTTTACGTTTTGTTTTTAAATCAAAAATTTTCGAGTTCGTTAAAAATTTTTTTTAAAATCGTGGAATTAGTCAATCGATTAACGGAAACGGAAGATACGTAGTCGTATATAAATAAATAAATATATAAAAAAACGAATTTTGCAATGTTGACGCGGTTCCATCGGTTAAATCCGAACGTTTCGTCGACCAATTATTCGATAATAAATCAAACGAGTTAAAAGTAACAAACAACACATCATTTTTATTATTCGAATTATCTTTTTTTAATCTTTTTCACATTGTTTCCTAATTAATCTTTTAATTTTAACTATCCGACAGTCATTTTTCGATCGTTTAACCGAAAACAAACGGTGTCGTTTTCCCCTTGACTCCTCGTTTCCCAAGTTCATGTTCCCTCCCCCTCTCCCTTTCGTAACGAAACTTTTCCCTTTTTTGTAATTTTAAAAACAATCAAACGACAAAAACCAGATGGGAAAAAATAAAGCAGAACAACAACAACAACAACAAGAAAAAAATGCGCAAATTTTAAGAGAATAATTATAATATCAAAACGTCACGATTACCAACTACAAAAAATTTAAAAAAAAAAATTTGCTCTTCTGCATATATCATATCGACGCGTAAATATATATATATAAATAAATTTAAAAAAAAACACAAACGTTTCGGATAAATAAGAAAAAAGAGAGAGAGAGAGTATGAGTGAGAGAGAGAAGGAAATATCAAACATAGTTAATCGGCCATCATTCATTTTTAAATACTTTTCAAACAGCGCCAAAATAAAAATAAAAATTCTTTTTTTTTTTTTTTTTTTTGATTTCTTTCCCGCCTTCAGAAACCATTAGTTAATGATTTATCGATCCACAAATTGATTTTTGTCATAGACCGTAATTTTCTCTTTCTGTTTTTATGTGACTTAAAATTATAATTTTGCCAGCGGAAACAACAAAAACGAAAAAACGAAAATGACAAAAGTTATAATTTTTCAAAAAAAAATACACACTTGACTCTTGCATGACCGATTTGGCATGAAAATTTGGCATCACCGCATTTGCATTTGAATTTTTTTTTTCCTTCTTCTTTTTTTATCCTTCATCATCATTATTATTATTTTAAATAATAATATTAATAATATTAAATGTGTTAATAAAATTTTTTTTACTTTTTTTTCTAACACCCCGATTAAAACGATTCGATTTTTTTTTTCTTACGGTTTCTCGTGTCATTCATTTATTTCGAAAAAAAAAAAACGGACACAACAAACAAACAAACGACTCTCGTTTGTAATAATTCGCCGGCCAACGGTTGAAAATGCAAATAATATTAATAGTAATAAACATTTTTTTTTTCCCTGTCGTATATTTACACTTTTGAATTTCTAAAGATGACAGTAATAATAATTATAATAATTTATATTAATTTTCCGACATGTGAAAAAAGGGAAAAAAAAGAAAATCTCAGACTCCCTCTCCCCTTTCCCTCCCCCTCCTCCCATTTTAATAAAAAAATCTTTAACGAAAAAATTTTTTTTTGTTAGGTAATTAAGGTATTTTTTTTTCTTTCCTTTTTTCATTCACGAATGGTTAACCAACCATTGTTAAAATCGACTTTTACTATTATCGGAAGATTAAATAATAATAATAATAATAATAATGGTTATATACGAGGAGAGAAATGAAAGAAGTATAAAAAAATATTTTTAAAATAACAACAACAACAACAACGACAACCAAAAATAAAAAAAAAAATAATGAAGTTTGAAATATAAAACGAGAATAACTTTAAGTAGGTGTGGCACCAGGTTACAATTCATCAGGGTCGCGTTTGTACTTGTTTTTTCCAGACTTTTTTTTTTTTTTCGTTAAAATATTTTTTTTTTTATTCATCTCTTATCGATGAAAAAATCGATATCGTCGATTTTAATAATAATAATAATAATAATAAAGGAAACGATTCGATTGATAACGACGTTACGGCACGAATTGAACGGGGATTTTTCTGAACTCTTCACAAGCGGTAAAAGGTACGAAATCGAAATATGAAATTTTTTTTAAAATTTTTTTTATAGTCTCTATACTATATAATATAGTCTATAAATAAATAAAAACTTCTATACGTCTCAGTGCATGAGAATGCATATTAATCATATTATTATTATTATTTCACCTGTTGTTTATTAAAACTAATAAAAAAACAACCAATAATTCAAATTAAAAATCTTGCTTTTTTTTTTTTGATTATTTAAAAAGCAAAAGTTGGCATCACTGATAATTAATTAAATTGATAAATGAAATACTATAATTAATTATGCAAAGGAAAAAAATAAATAAATAAATAATTTAAATGAGAGGTTGAAAAAAAAAAAAAAAATTTTTTATATTTTTTTTCTTTCCAATACCGGGAAATTCAAAAATTTTTTAAATTACTGAACAAATTTTTAAAAAAATATTTTTGTCGTACCTAGATACATACATTTTTTCGCGCGGATAAATTATTCGTCTGGAGTACCTGAAATTTTTTTAAAAAAATTTATTATTTGCTCGTAAATAATAAGTGATTATGGACCTTTGAGCGATCGAAAAGACTTGAAATATTTTTTTTTTTTAAACATTCGGTGGCTATTTTAAGGTTTGCATTCAATAAACATTATTATCATCATTAACTATTTACCACAAATTAAGTTTTTTTTTTTTTCTCTCGGTCTAAAACGATTTTCCAGGCACGTTGTTTTTAAAGTGGTCTTGTAACCGTACCACACATCATCTTTAATTCCATGTTTAAAAACCCATTAAAACATTATTCGATTCTCGTAAACATACAATTTAACATTACATAAAATAAAACAAAAGTTTGTACGATTAATCCGTTTGCAATAATAATATTTAACAAAACAAACAAACAAACAAACTTTTACAAAATCATTCGTTCAACGATTGCTTATTTTAAAAATTAATTAAAATTTTACCTTATTGTTCCGTTGCCAAAACATATCCATAATCTTTCTCTTTGATCGAACCTTCACTAATAAAACCACCAACAGGAACAGTAGAAGAAGAAGAAGAAGAAGAAGGAGAAGAAACAACAACAAAAGCAGGAACACCAATCAGAAGTAGTAGCAGTAGCAACAAACGGCAGATGTTTTTTTTTTTTTTTTTTTAACAAGGTACGTAATAATTTTTGTAATAAAAATTACGACTTTAATAAATCCGACAAACGTTTAATAATAAATAATATCAAAAAGTTTATTTATTTTAATATAACAAACGGGGGCCGTTAATAATAAAAAAAATTCAAATAACTTAAATTATTTTTTTTTAAATAAATAAATAAATAATAAATAAAATATTGTTTATATATATGAATAAATTTTACTTATGGATATATATATCTATATAATTGCGTTTTTTTTTCGTGTTATTTAGGTAAAAACCGCGTAATCTCACGATTCCACAACAACACTTTCATATAAAATAATAATATTATCATCACATGAGCATGTAACAACAAAGCAAGAAGAATACGCGATACGAACAGGCGAATGTCGACCGATGGTTTACGGCCATCACTGTAAAAATCCCCCTACCCGCCGTAGGGGGAATTTTAAAAAACGTCATTCGAACCGTATTTCACATGCGGGAAAACCCGTTCAACTTATATTTTATAACAACCTGCGTTAAAAGCACAAATAAAGTAAATTATAATTAAGTATACTAAACTTTTGAATTGTTATCCCTTTTTATAATATTTTTCGCATGCGATTAGTTTTTTTTTTCTTTTTTTCATAGGAAGGGGTAAATATTTTCTCTCTCTGTGTGTGTGCGTGTGTGTGTACACACACACTTAATACACATTTTTTGGGCCCCCCTAAAAAAAAAAAAATTATAAAATAAAATAAAATAAAATTTTATTACCATTATCATTGTTATTATTAATAAATGATAATAAAAAAGTAATTTTTAAATGATAAAATTAAACGTTTTTTTTATTTTATTTTATTTTATTACTCTATGACTTTTGGCAATTATGTATGTTTTGTTTAAACAATTTGAATTTATTTTTTGTCGGTATTTATTATTTTTATTTATTCAACGAGTACCCATTTTATTATTATTATTATTATTATTATTTTAAAGAAAGAAGGATCGTAAATGTTTAACGGTTTGTTAAATTGTTATTTTCTCGTTTAATGGCTCAATTATCCGGGATTTTTGTAGTTTTTTTTTTTTTTCGGTTGTTTTTGTTGTCGTTGTCGTTGTCGATGCAATCATAATATTAAAAATAAAAAAATTTAAAAACCTAAAAAATAAACCCCCTTTTTTATATTTGGATTTATATTTCATTACTTTACAAAAAAAAAAAAAAAACTTTTAGTTAAACCTGTTGATTGAAATTATTTAGATCATTAAAACTAGATTTTGATTTTTTTTTTTTTTAAAGCGTAGAAATTAATTTTATTTTTATGGGGAGAGTAAAATAAAGAAAAGGAAAATTAGTTTGGAAGAAGTTTTGAAATTAAAACCTTTTTCTTAAGTTTTTCATTCGTTATTATTAATTAAATTAAATTTTTTTTTAATTATATATTATCAATTGAATTATTATTATTAGCATTATTTTTTATTTGATTTCCATGTTTTAAAAATGAATGTTTTATTTATTTTTTGAATTATTAAATATTAATAATAATAATAATAAATTTTTTTCACGATGAAAATGGGTTACCATAAAAACTCATTGTCGAACGTACATTTCAATGATAATCTTTCAACGGGGAACCACGAAAATAATAATAAAAAAAAAATAAAAAAAAATTAATATAAAAATGTGTTAAATTCATAAGTTGGCTTATCCATGGTAACCATGGTAACGACCACATTTCTACGAGAATTTAACTAAGTTTGACGCACGCGACTCTGAGTTACGACTTTTAGCTGGGGAGGTCTTTCGTAATGAAAGAAGATTGTTTGTTTTGTTTAAATAACACGAACAAAATAAGTCATTTAAAAATTTTCAAGTGAAAAATCAGGGATTCAGTATAAAAAAATTAAATAACCCGATTGTTTTTTAAATTATTACACTCATCAATTTACATTTATTTATTTTTTATTTTTTTATTTTTTTCCCCCGAGTTCCTCGATCTGACCGATTTTCCTCTCCTCGCCTCTCCCGAATGAGGCTAAAACAAAAAAGGAATCATTTCATCTCTTGCATTTTCACATAAATCGACATTAAATTATCTTTATCTATTTTTTATCTTTTTTTAATACTTTTAAAAACTTAATTTTCCATCTTTGTCATCGTTTGAAGAAGAAAAAAAAACATTTTTTTTATATGTGTTTCTTTTTTTCTTTTACTTTGTGCTAGAATTAAAAAGCCGCGCGCGCGCGTGCTCCCGCTCGCGCGCCATTTTTCGCTCCCAGCTAAAATTTTAAATTATTTAAACAAAAACAAAATAAAAATTATTTTTCCCTTTTGCATGCGGACATAAGTAAAATATGCGTTTAAGAAAATCCTTATAATCCGGATTTCCTCACGCACGTGATCAACATTATGCGTTCCTTTAATAAAATTATTATTATCGATAAAATATTTTTTTTTTAAATAATTATTTTCAATTAAAAATCAAAACAAAAACATAAAAACTCGTTTTCAAGGTTCGTCGTAAACGCTTAAACCGCCATTTCTATCGTCTCTACCGCCACCACCACCACCACCACAACCGCCACAGTCGAGTACGAGCAAATAGTAACAACATAACGTCGGTTTACAATTTTTTTTTTTTTTAATTTTTCAAATGCAATAATTATGCATTTATGCCAGGTAATTTTAAACCTGTTATTATTATTAATATCGCTTTACTCTACGTTATTTATAAGTACATACATTCATACATAAATCGAATGAATTTTTCAATATCGAATCGATTTCCTTAAAGTGTATTCACGATAACATTATTTACGCTAATTTAAAAATAAGAAAATAAATTTTTTTCATTTGAAACCCGCAGTTTTCGCGAAACGCATGGAAATCATTATTATTATTATTATTTTGTTTTATGTCATAAAAAAATTACTGACTTTAACGGCCTAATTAAATATTAATAAATAATTGTTCTTACTTATTGACGTTTTATTGATTTATTTATTTTAAAAAATACATAGTGTCACTAATGAATCGCGTAATGTTATTAACTGTCACCGTCGTAGTTATTATTATTATTTATGTATCGAAGAAAGGCCGCCAATATTTTTTTAATAAATTATTTACATAAAATAAATGTCATAATGTTTATTCAAAGTGTTACGAATGTTTTATTTTTAACGTGTAAAAAAAAAAAAAAAATAACGACAATTATTTATTTACATGACTTTCAAGTGTGAAAAAATTTTTTTTTATTTTATTACTATTGCTATGACGTCATTTTTTTATTAATTAATAATTATTTGGGATCTGATTTATTAATTAAATAAAAATCTCAGTGAAATGATTTTTATTCCAGGGATAAGAAAAGACACGCAAAAAAAAAAAAACCAAAAATTTATTCAGTTTTGGATTTTAAAATTTTTCGGATGTCGAATAAAGCGGCGGTGGTGGAGGGGAGGAGAAGGAGGAAAAGGAGGAGAGAGAGGGAGAGGAATAGAGAAAGAAAAACATAGAGAAATAAATGATTTTAAATTTTAAATGCGTACAAAATGTAAATCAAAACCGGAAAATAACATATGTTTGTGTATATACGTTGGATTTGTTGTTGTTGCATTGTTTCGGGTATGTCGAATCTGTTTCCTACCATCATCATCGTGATGATAATGATAATAATAATAATAATAATAATTTTTAAATATTGTCGTAAACCCCGTGCTAATTTTTCGTTCACGTATCAAATCGTATCAAATACAAAAAAATAATTAATAAAAAAAAAAAAAAAAAACCGTTACGAGTTTAAATCGTCGATCGTAAAAGATGACGTAATACATATTAATAATAATAATAATAATAATGATAATAATGAAAACTTATTGTGGTGTAAGATAATTTATTTATTTTTTATTTTTTTTCGCGCCAAAAACGCTAATACGAATTTATACGTATTATTTTTTGATTTACTTTAAAATTTTCGGTTTGAATTAGAATTTTTTTTGAGTTTCGACCGTATTTCCGGTTTAGTTTAAAAATTTTTTTTCGAGAATATATAAGAATCGAAAAGATTGGAAAAAAGGAAAATATTTTTTATTATTATTATTTTTAATCAATCTGATAATAAATTATTTAATAATTTCGATTTATTTCATTTCACACAAATTAATCCGAGTCCCTAATTAAGGTTTCAATATCAATTATAAAAGGTAGATTACGGGAGTTAATACCCCTTTTTCGCGTGAAAAACGTTTTTCCACTTTCTGGAAGAATAATTACAAGTAGAAAATTCACAGATGGTACACACAGATGCACCCTCCCCCCTTTGGAAAATCAATCTCGTTTAAAAGAGGAGGGGAGACAAAAAAAAAAAAAGCTTTTTGAAAATTACTACTCTCGTTGTTGTGCCGTCCATCCGAGGTTTAGAGCCCCTTCCTTGTCCCCCCCCCCATCCACATGTTGGAAAAACTTTTTTTTTTTTTTTCATTTTCCAATTCATTTCCTTTCACGTCGGTCGAATAAGCTCTTCGAAACCTTTTTTCATTATTATTATTATTATCGTGACACCTAAACCGTGTTACTGGTGGGGGATTTATATAAAAATAAATTTAAATTTTTTTTTTTAAGCCTCCCTCTCCCCTTTTCCTCCCCTTCTATCCCCTCAACTTAAAACTCCCGGATTTAAGTTTTATTATTATTATTATTATTAATAACATTTATTTATTTTTAAAATTAGTTGTTTATTTTCTGGAAGAGAAAATAAATAAATAAATAAAAAATCAAAAAAAAAAAAAAAACAAAAAAAAATATTCCAGGATTTTTTTTTTAAATCGTAAAAATTATTCGAGATGAATTTTAATAGGCTGCGATTAAAACGAAAAAGAGAAAAAGAGAGAGATAGAGAGAAAGTGGGAGAGAGAGAGAAAGAGAGAAAGTGGGAGAGAAAGAGAAAAAAAAAGAAAAGAAAAGTTAAATTTATGGAAAGCTGAAATCTAAAAGTTTCAGAGACATTTGAAAATCCTTATCACTGAAGCTTAGTAATCCAAAAATTATGAAAATCCATAAATTAAAAAGCATTAAAATTTTAAGTTTTGTTGTAAATTTTGATTTATTTCCTCTTTTTCTTTTTTTTTTTTCTAATTTTTTTTCCAGGTACTTTTTTATCAACTCCGACTTTTGTGTACGAAATTCAAACAAACCGCTGGAAAATAAAATAAAAAATAAAAAAAATTTTCCAGTTGGTTTTTTTATTTTTTTCGTTTCGACGATTATGAATGAATTTTTTTTTTATATTATTTCTCCATCCATGATATTTATGGAGAAATTTCATTTCAATTGAAAAAAAAAAAAAAATATATATATATATATATATCAAATTGACAAATATATTTTTTGACAACCCCTCGAATAATTTTCTATATAAAAAATTATATTCTATATATTTAAAAAAAACATAAATTTAGGCTAGAGTAAAAAAAAAATTTTAAAAAAAACGCGTTAAAAAATTTGTTTTTTTTTTTTTTTTTTTTTTTTTTTTTTTGGCCCCCCCCAAGGGTTTTAAGTTAAACGTATAATAAATACCAAAATTACAAGTTTCCCTTAAAAGGGAAAAAAAAAAAAAAAAGGAAAAAAAAATTTTTTTTTTTTTTCTATATGCCCGGTTATTAAAATCAACGGTTATTATATATATTATTGATTATAACTTAGTCGTTAATTTTTTTTTTTTTTACGCCGCGTTTTTTTGCTTTTGCGTAATTCAAAACAATATTTTGTAGTAGCCTTATAATGTATTATTATTATCATTATCATTATTAAAATAATTAAATCGAATGAAAAAAAAAATAAATTAAATTTTTTATTTTATTTTATTTCATTTTCTCTCTCTCGTTCTTTTCGTATTACCTCCCTTAATTCTTTTTTTTTTGTCTTATTTTATATTTTTTGCCTTCTTTTTTTTTTTTTTTTGTTTCTCCAGGCCGTAAATATTTTTTTTTTTTTCTACAAATATAGTTGAGCTGGAAGCCGGGTTAAAGTATTGTTGCCATTTTTCACATGGTAAAAAGATTTATTTCTGACGTGAGAAAGACAAATAGGAACTTTGTGTCCGAATTTTCTTCTTTTTTTTTTTGTAAGGCTAGGCTTTAGTTTTTGTGTTGTTCGTCGGTATGCACAACTTTATTTTTTCTCAATTTATAGCCGTGCTATAAGTTATATTTTTGCTACAGATTTATTACGCCTACCGCACATTTTTTATTTATTTTATTATTTATTGTCTTTCTTTTTTTTTTTTTTTTATTTCTTTCTTTCTTTTCTTATCTCTTTAAAAAGAAGAAGAAGAAGAAAAAAATATATATATATACATAATGATGATAATAAAAATAATTTTTATTTTTTTTTTTTTATCCAACTTTTTTTTCTCTCTCTCTCCAGTAAATCTGTTTTTTTTTGCCCTCGAACCCACTTCCGAGAGTATTTATTTTAAAAATTTATTTTTAAATCGTATATCAATATTATCATCATTATCATTATTATCACAATTAATGTTTAATAATCTTTCCGTAAAATTATTATTATTATTATTATTAATAAAAAAAATTACTTCCTGACGTAAATTTTTCAATAAAAAAAAAATTATTTAAATCGTTCCAGTATTTATGATTCCAGTTATCAACATAAAAAAAAATCAATCATACGTCGAATCATATACTAATCACGTGACATTTAAGAAACCACTATAATTTTTATAAAGCGCTATATAAACAAACTATAAAACAAAATGGGAGTCGGATCGGTTAGGTTCGATAAAAATAAAAAATGGAATCGAGTTTTTTTTTTATTAAAATTATTTCTTGTGGTAAAAATTTTTTTAATAATTAACTTATGAATAATAAAAACAATGAAAATTTTATTACCTTTATTACGTAATAATAATAATAATAATAATAATAATAATAATAATAATAATAATATAAGAAAATTAATCGATTATTTATTTAATAAATTTTATTTATTCATTTATTTATTTATTATTACGAGAGTTTAATTAAAATCAAAAATAAATTTGTGCGGTGTTTAACGACAAAATTATTATTATTATTATTTTAAAATGATAATAATGATAATTATTTTGTTTTTTTTTTTTTATTAATTAGAGTATTAAATATAATTTTATGTTAAAAAAAAAAAAAACGCGAAATTATAGTAATAATAATATTATTATTATTTAACAATGAAAAATAAAACAATGCACTTAGCATGATAATAGAGTGAAAGGGGTGGTGACTTAAGGGTTGTTTAAAATGGAAGGGGTGGGGAGGAGGGTGCAATAGGGAGAAACAATAAATCTTGGTCGGCCACACTGTCAGAGTGTAAATCATGATGGCCGCGCTGCGTGGTTGCAGACACCATGCCTCGCAGACTCCCAATTCTCGAATGAAACCAATTCATCTCTGTCCCGCGTTTTCCCTCTCTCTCTCTCTCTCTCTCTCTCTCTAAACTTCCCCAATTCCTTCCTCGTCTCTTTTCCTACCACCACTTTTAATACTCTTTCCCCTTGTTTTTTTTTTTTTTTTCAACTTCAGGCCTCTTCATCTTCTCTTTCCTTTGCCTTATTTCCTTTTCTTTCTTTCTTTCTTTCTTTTTTTCTAACTTTTCTCATTTTCCAATAACTCAATGCGAGATTTTTTCCTCTCTTTTTTTTCTCTTTTGTTTTCCAGTTTGGTTTTCCAAAAAAAGGGTGAGTGGTAAAGAGGGGGGGGGGGAATATCATTCGCATACATTTAAATATTCTTTTTTTTCACTCTCTTTCCCATCGAAAGAATTTTTCAATGCAGTTTCCAAAATTTCTGAACAAAAAAAATTTCACGATCGATGATAAAATTAGAGAGAAAGAGAGAGAAAAAAAAAAGTAAAAAGAAACCATGAAAAACAAATTTTCTTTTTAAATTATATTATTTATGAAAGTTAATTATACAAAGTTGCCGTGTCCATCTTGTTTTTATTAAAAAAAAAAAATTCAAGGCAAAGAATTCTCAAAGTTTTTTTTTTTTATCTTATATCCAGAGTTGATGAACCCTCTATTTAAGTCCACGTATCCCCGTATTCACCCACTTGATAATCATGTCCAGTTTTTCCAAACCGCTGTAATTGAATGAGAACTAAAACACTAACCACTGCGAAGCCTTTGGCTGTTAAATTGGTTTGAACCACTTCAATGTAATAATTTTTTTTTTTTTTTTTTTGTCTAAAATGATTATTTAAATTATCATCATCATTATTATTATTATCTTTAACCTTCCTTTTCACGATTATACTATATACTTATAGACACTACACAACGTTTCTTTTTCTTTTCTTTTTCTCGACAGGAATTTTAACTTTATCCATCTCGTCGTAAAAGTACTAATAATAATAATATAAAAAAAAATACGTTATATAAAGATTATGACGTCATTTTTCCGTCTCAACTGCTGATTTTTTAGTCTGCTTTTTTTTTTTAGTTAATAATTAGTTGAATGGTTGAAAAGAAAATTGAACGTTTTCCCGAAGTTGGTCTATAAATCAATTTTTGTTAAGCTCGTGGCATTAACACTTCTTCTCCTTTCTAAAAGAAAGGTTCGGTACGTCAAAAACTTTTTTTTTTTTAGTTTCGAGAGTTGTTCGTAAGACTAAAATTGTAAGAGAAAAAGAGAGAGAGAAAGAGAGAAAAAGAAAAATGGTAGGAGTCAACATATAAGAGGTTGTTGTTGTTGCAATTCTTATTATGTCTCTCACATAATTTAAAAAGTCTTGAATTCCTTTTTTCTCATTCGTCCTTCCAGTTTCTTCCAGTTTCTTTTTCCCCTTTCTCCTCCTCCTCCTCCTCCTCTTTTTCCCTTTAAGTCATTTTATATGGCAATTTCTTTTTCAAATGGATACCAACAACATTTTGTTTTCATTTCAATTGAAAACAAAAACACAAAGTTTTCTTATTAAAGTTTTACATTTCACAGATTTATTTGTATTCTTATTTTATTATTATTATTATTTTTCCCAAGGTTCACTGATTCTTTTTTTTTTATGTCGTTTAAAGAAAATAAGTTTTCTTTTTTTTTAAAAAAATCGTATTGCGTATTTATGTGATTGAAATTACTACGACATACTTAAATACGTAAAGACTTAAAATGCTTTTAAGAATTTTTTTTTTTTTTTAACAATCAACCCTTAAGATATTATTTAAAAAAAAAAAATTCATTTCAATAACAAAGAACGCACACGATTCGTTATGGTAACACAAAAAAAAAAAATCTTCCAAGGTTAAAATATAAATAATAGAAGAATAAATTTAATGGGCAAAAAAAAAAAGATTTTTAGGGCCACAACCGAAAGGTTACACAACAACAACAACAACACTTCACGTCAATTAAAAAAGGCACACAAGGCACAAGGTTTTTTTCTTTTTAAAAAAAAGGTTGAATTGAAAGAGAATATATATAAAAAAAAAAAAAATTATTGAATTTAAAAATTTTAGATATAAATTGTGTGTGAAACAAAATGTCTGCTCTTTAGTAACCATTGAAGTCCCGTTAGATATTTTAAGTTTAATCCATAAAGATTTACTGGGGGTATCAGGACTTGGCGGGCGCGCTTTCGAGGTGAATCCAGCTTATAGTTTAATCTCAGTTCCATATGAGTCAATTAAACCATCTTTCTTTCCGGACCAACCAACCAACCCCAGCATCACTTTCCTCATCTCTCTCTCTCTCTTCTCTAATTTCTCATTCTACTTTTTTTTTTTTTTTATTCTCGTTCACCTCACGCGCCGTTAATAATCTCGGCATAATTTATTTTCCTCGTCTTCTTTTTTTTTTTTTTTTATTCCAGAATGATTTTTAATTTCCCGAATCTCTCATTTATAATCGACATAAAATTAATCAAAATGGCAGAAAATTATTTTTTTATTTTTCCAACTTTTCTGCGGTTGTTGTTGTCGTTGTATCAAATCAAACGACAAACAATAAAATATCAATTCTCAATTTATTATTTAATTATTTTTATTTATTAATAAGTAACAAATTAGTCGGAGAAAAAAAAATTGTAAAATAAATTAATAATAATAATAATAAAATTATTATTTATTGCCACGTTTGGATTTCGTCCAATCTAAAAACACGACGAAAAAAAAAATCGTGGGAAATAATACTTGATAAATTTTTTTTATGTTTACATAACACTTTCTCTCTCTCTCTCTCGACATTCAAGCATTCGTCAATTTTATTGTTATTCGTGTCTTAATAAAATTATTATTATTATTAACGTGTCAACAGAGATAATATTTAAACACTTTTGAAAAGAGTTAATTAATTAATCAAAAGGTCAAATCTTTCCTTGTTTTTTTTTTTTTTTTTTAAATGGTCGTTTTAATAGTCATTTAAATTTGGCGCAATTTCTCCATTTTCTAATGACATTAGAAATTAAATTACCCTTTAAATTCTTTCCATTGTGTGCCTGATTTGATATTTGTGTCAAGTAAATATTTTCTTAGATGATAAATGAAGACTTTTAACTTGGAATAATAGGCATTGGAATCGAGATTTGAAATTATGGTGGATTATGATGATAATTTAACGAAAAGTGAAAAGTGGAAGTTAGTTAGATAGTTAGTTAGTTAGTTAGTTAGTTAGTTATTACTTTATCACTTTGATGTATAAAAGTAACCTAATGATAATAATAATATTAATAATGATAATAATCGAGGATTTGTAATAATAACTTTATGCAATAATTTTTTACTTTCGTTTTGATTTTGTTATTAACATTGAACTCTCTGCCTCTCTGTCTCTCTCTCTCTCTCTCTCTATTGATTAAGTTTTTTTCTGCAAGGGAATTTAATTACATTTACTGGAGAAAAAAAAATTACGCTGGAAATTTATATGATTCAATACGCACGACATAAAAAAAAAAAGTTTAGAAATTTCGCGTGGGTTGACAAAAAGGGGATGAAAATAAAAATTATAAAATACTTCTGCCACTTTTTTTTTCTTTCATCTTTTACTATCACGCATCATCCTCGTTATCAAAGGTAAAATAATAATAATAATAAATAACAACAAATCATTTTTGATAAAAAATAAAAAATAAACGAATGGTGGATAAACCTAATATTAATCATAAAAAGGACAATAATATTATTAATCGTGATTTATTTTATTTTATTTTTTTTTTCATATCGTGTAATAAGAAAAAGTTAAAGACACGATTTAAAAAATAAGAAGAAAAAAAAAAGAAAAAAAAAAGAAGAAAACTTTTAAAGTATTTTTTAAATGCACAGCACGTTAAATCTTAAAGCTCGAATTCTAATGTTGTACACGGTTTCATCCGCATGGGGTAGTTGTCGCTCTTTCAACCCCTTTGCCAACCAATTTCGCACTTCCCTTAACAACATTTTAACTACATAAGCTAAACACTTATGTAAAAAAAAAAAAAAAAAAATTTTTATTTCCCATCTTTTTAAGTCCGACACAAACACACACAAACACTCTGTGTGACGATGCATACGTAACGAAGGGTGCATAATAATAATATTAATGCGCAATCATCTTTAAAAGGTGTCGAGCAAGAGATATTTTTTGGGGGGAAGAGGGAGGGAAATTAAATAAGGGGTTAGAAAATTATAAAATTTTTTTTTTTCCTTTTTACTCCATTCATTCCGATTGGAAAAATTGAGTCTTCAAAAAAAAAAAAATTATCGAAATGTTTAATTATTATTATTATAAATAAATTCGCATAATCATTAACGCGTAAATTTAATTATTATTATTATCGTGGCGTGAATAAACACATAATGATAATAATAATTATAATAATAATTAATTACCGGTTATACATGGATCTGATATTTAATTATTATTTTTAATTAACATTAAACGTGTTATTGTTGTTGTCGTAAAAAAAATGTTTTATTAATTAATTATGTCGAACAAACGATTTATTATTATTATTATTTTATTGATACTTTTAATAAATAACCAATAATAATAATAATAATAATTTTATAAAGCTTTTTTTTTGGTTTTGAAAAAATAATTACTGAAATATTAAAAAGTTTTATCACAACGATTGCATTCATTTTATAAATATTTAAATATAAAAAAAAAGTCATACGATGGTAATAATGATACTGATAATGATGATGATGATAATAATAATAATGAAAAGATTTATAAAAATTATGAAAAAATTTTTTTCTTTTTTTTTTCTTATTCTTTTGATGAAATTCTCCGGGATCGCTCGAGGTTTTTTTTTTTTAATATTTTTTTTCTTTCTTTAGAAAAAAAGTAGAAGAAGAAAAGAGTGGGAGGAGGGGGAGGTAAAAAAATTGATTTTTTATCACGGAGTTTCGAAAAAAAAAAAAATTTTTTTTTTATCCTTTAGATTTATGTTATTATCTCTATTAAAAAAAAAAAAAAAAAAAAAAAAATAGAAAATACTAGAATACTTGACCAGCCAATAATAGTGACCGAATAGGTAATTTTTTTTCTCTTCCTTTCGTACTAGTTTTTTTTTTTTTTTAAATAAGTAAACAGGTTTTCCCCATCATCTTAATTGTAAGGTATCCTATAATTCTGATAATGCTGCTCGAAAAAAAAAAACAAAATTATAAAAAAAGAGAACGCGCGTGAGAGAGAGAGAGAGAGAAAGCATCGGGGAGGGAAAAAAAAAATGAAAATGAGAATTTGAAAGTGCGTGTGCGTGTGCGTGTGTATGAGCGTGATGTAGCATGGTGTACGGATTTAAAATAAAAACTTATATTTAAAATAATAATAATAATAAAAAAAGAGTATGTGTGTGTGTGTGTGTGTGTGTGTGTGAGAGAGAGAGAGAGAGAAACTTAATTTTTACCCGTTTTCCAATTGTATTATAATCTATATAAAAAATCCTTACATTAGAAAAAAAAAGGTTTAATTTTTTACGTAGGAAAAAAAAAAAATTATACGAAATTTTATTGGTTCGTTTTTACTTCGGGCCCTTATTCAGGTATTTTGACAGAAGGGGTAAGAGGGAGGGGGGTAACAAACATTAACTAAAACCGATCCATTATATTTAATTTCGAATTAAAAAAAAAACGGATAATAATTTTTTTTATTATTTTTTCGTAATTATATTTTTTTATTTGTCGCCATTTTTTTTTGTTTTTGATCTATTACATCCTTCCTTATCACGATTTCAAAAACGAAATTTATCACAAATTATTATTATTTAAAAAAAAAAAAAAAACGTGGAAACGTATTTAAAAAAAAAAAACCACGCCCCCTCCCCCTCCCCTCTATTCGACGATTGACCGTTAATCATTAAATCTCTTTAAAAAAAAAAACAAACAAACAAAAATGGCACGAAAGTAAATACATTTATTTACCTATAAATTTTTTTTTTTTACACCATAAAAACAACAACAAACAACAAAATAAACAATAT